TTTTTTTCTCACTATTTTCTTTTATCTTCTTCCTAAGATAATTGTTTTATTTGAAATCATTTAGTTTTATGTTCATTCTAACGGAAACAAGATATATTCATTAGTAATTTCTTTTTTTAACTTCATCTCTATCTAATTACGTGAGTCAAATAAAAAGGTTTCTTCTGTTTTTTCTCTATTAAAATCTAATTGATATATCACTTTCAAGGAAAGAAACAAAAATCTTAGATATCATAAATCATTATTAATGATCTTTAGAAATTCAGAATAAATCAAAAGAGATCGACGAAGAAATTAACATATTTTTACTCTTTTTTTCCAAAAAGAAAGATAATTAGAGTAATATTATCGAAGAAGAATCATGTAACATAGTTGAGAATTAGATAAATTTTCTTTTTTTCTTATTTTAATCTTATAAAAGTTCTTTTCTTGTAAGTATTGACTGTTTCTTTTTTTTTCTTTTTTCTCATTTAATGTTCGATATATTTTGTTTGAATATTCATTAAGATTAATATTCATTCATTATGAGATAAATCACAAAGGAAATAGTAAATTCATCATGTGTCATTTCACAAGAGATATATTCATTCACATTCACGTTCATATTCAAGTCAAAGTGAATGATCACGCAATTATAGAAACAAAAAGAAGAAGAAGAAGAAGAAGAAGAAGACGATTAATTTTATTTTAATTTCAATCTTCTTTTTCTTTTTGTTTTTTTCGTTAATAAAATGAATGAGATTAGAATGTTTTCAAGGTCAAATAAAATTTGATTCGATTGAATATGGCAGAAAATGAGCTTGAAGCAATGATTTGTCAGAAAAATCATTACTCCATATGTCTAACAAATCAAAATAGAAAATTCCTTTTTCTTTTCTTTTCTTCTCTTAGTTAATATCATTTATTTGAAAGAAAGGAAAATGACATGTCATTCGAATTCGCATAAAAAACAAAATCACATTGTTATGCATTAGCTTTTCTAACAAAAATAGACAACGATAGACACATTTCACATAAAAATAATTTCTCTCTCTCTCTCTCTCTCGTTTTTTTTAATATTAAATCGAAGTTTTTTTGTGTGAAGAAAATCAATTCTATTATTATTATTCTATGTTGTCACATAATTTCTTTTAATATAAAAGAAGCCTTGATATTATTTTGTTACTTTTCCGTCGTATTTCAATTAAAATAATAAGAAAAATGAAAAGTGTCTGGGTGGAAATGAAATTGTATGATGAATATCTATTTCTTATTAATCAGAGTGAAAATAGAGAAGAAAAAGATCTAAATTAAAATTCTTTTTTTATTTCTCACTTCATTTAAATTGTTCGTGAATACGAAGAGTTTCTATTTTTATTTTTATTAGAAAATCATATTGATAGAGATCGATTTATAAATAATCCTTTTTGAATTATTTTTCTATAATAGAATTGTTATTATATGTAAACCTCTTCTTAATCTTTTTCTTTTTAGGTTCATGATGACTATCAATCGTTATTATATTGAACGATGGTATTAATTCAGTGGCATTTTTATTTTTATTTTTCTCTAAATTTTCTATGTAAGTTAAGATTAAATATGAAAACACGAAAAGAAAATTCTTTTTTTTTTGTCTATTATTAAAATAGTATATCGAGCTGCTGCTGTTTATTCAATTCAATGTTGTACAGGTGATGATAATACATGTTCATCAAAACCTGTTGATTGTCCTTCAAATATTTGTTTTAAATTAGGTAAAGAATTTCTTTCTCTTCTTTTGATTTTAAATAAAAAAAAAACGATTTCGTATTTTAGTAATTAACAAAGTAACAGAAGAACGTGGATGTCTTGATGATTTAATAAAATTATTAAATTTTGCAAATAAAGATAGTCGAACATTTAATAATGAAAATGGATTAACAAGTGGTTCATCGAATGATCAATGTCATAAATTAGGTGCACATGCAAATAGTATGTCACTATGTAAATGTACAAATAATTTATGTAATTCAACTTCGAAACAAATTCAATTCATAAATCCGGTTTTCATTTTTATTATTTTTATTCTCAAATATTTTCTACATGTCTTTCTTTATTAAATTTAAATCATATTTATTAGATTTTCAATTTCTTTTTTTTTTATTAATTAAATATTCAATTATTTCATAAGAACATTCAATCTTTAGTTTAGAAATATTACAAGAGCTAATTCTATAGATTTTTCTATAGATTAGTTTTAAAATAAATCTTGAAGATTGACAGTTAAAAATGTGTTATTGTCAATCAACAATCGATCAACGCAATACGATCATCTTTACCACTTAACAAGAATAACATTTTAGTAACAAAACAAAAACAAATATAGAAGAACATTATTCTTACTCAGAATATCTAACGCTATTAACGAGTATACACATTATTATAATCATTTCAAATATTTTACAAAAAAATTTGAGGGTGTGGGTAGTTTTTCTTTTATTTTTTTTCAATTGTTGGGTAATTGAACGTCGTTGAAGAAGTTATTCGTTCAATTTAATGAGATTTTCAATCTTTTTCAATATAATTTATTGATTAATATAGAACTTCTATACATATTATGATATTTCTAAGTTGTTCATTATCAACTATAGAAAACTATTATAATATGATCAGTGTAAGAGGAAATGTAAAAGTAAGAATTCGTTATCAGAATAGGAGCCATTCAGTTGATCCTAACTGAAAAAGTATACCACTATACAAGATAAACTCAAGGACATGCTATTCATCTATTTAAGATTTGATCTACATTACGAAAATGAATATACAAATCAAAGACAATTCAACTTCTATTTTTCTAATTGGACTACGTAGATTCTGTTTTGATGATCAACCAGAGCTCAGAATCTTGAAGATGAGAGATAAGACAAGATATACACTCACACTTACCCGTTGAAGATAAAGGGAAAATATAAAAAAACAATAAATTTCGGAGTAATTCTGAATACATATTCTCAACCAGGGTGTGAGTATCATATTTATATCACACCCATACCCACACTCTCAAGATGATTGTTATACCATCGTGAGAGTGTAAATATGAACGCCAATAAAAGTATGATTCACCCTCACTCACCCCTTCTAATGACCATGGTATCTTGTTGCATCACGTGTTAGTCAAGCAACAAATTATACAGGAAGTGCAATAAGTAATTTGATTACATTGGCGAATGGTTTAAATAGCGTAACAATATATAATGCTAGTCAAGTGGGTTCATATATATCATATGTAGATGATATGGATGAATTTCAAGTTTATAGTCGAGAATTATCTGCCGATAATATTTATACTTTATATACAAAATAAAATCTTGAAGGTGTGAATAGGATACACTCACAATCTCAAATTTGATCAATTATCTTTATGATAAGTTTATAATTTTTTTTTGTCTTATTATTTTGTTGGTATTAATAATACGATTTCATTGAATTATATGTTAATCAATATCATATTATTATTATTATTCGGCGATATAAAATATTTTTTAAATCATTAAACAACATCTCATAATACATTATTTGTTTCTTATTTTCTTTCTTCAAATCTAATAGTTTTGCTTCATTTTAAATCAATTTCGTTCCATATAAATTATTATTTAGTTACTTCGACTCTATTGATCTATTTTAAAAAGCTTTCTTATAAGAAATGGTATTCAGCTTGAAATTATTCATTATTATTCTATTTAATATAAAAATGAAATATTTTTTCAAATTTTTGAATATGTTAATTTAACTTTGATAGTTTTTTCTTAAAAGTTCTCGTCGAAGAATTATAATAATAATATTGAATGAATGAATGAATGAGATAAATTTGTGCGTATTGTTATGTTTATTGATCTTAACGAGAAAATATCGAACATAATAAAGAAAAAATCAACATGAAAAACAAATAACTACTAGAAGTTTTTCAACATTCAAGTTTAAACAAATAAATGTGTCGATTTGTTTTTTTTTTATCGAAGAACTAAATGATATGTAATTTAACAAAAAAATATAACGATTTTTTCAATATAGAATCAACTAAAAAATAAAGAAAAAATATTCTTTTATTAAAAATAAGAAAAAGGAAAAGAAAAGAAAACATACAAATTTAATAATAATTTGTGTTTTATTTAAGATTGATTTAATTGTTCATCACCGAGTGTAATTGTATTATTTTGTATTGAACTATCTGAATCATCATTAAAATGTTCGGATGTTAGAGAAGTTCCACGTGCTTCATAAATTCCTCCAACAGATGCACGAACATCACGATCACGATCAACTAATAACATTTGAAGACATTCATCTATTTGACTTCTCCAATCATCTGATAAATCTTTATAAAAATCTTTTAAAAACAAAAACAATAGATATTTTCTTTTCTCTTTAAAAGAAGATTATTTACCATTATTAATTAAATTTTGATAAACAAATGTTCCAAGAGAAAGACGAACATTAACAACCGGATCTTCTTTTAATGATAAAAGTGTTCCAAGAAATCTTAATGCATATTGATCAGATGTATCTGCATGTAATTTATATATTGATTCACATAGATTTACATATGATTGACGTAATTTCCAATCTAATGATGAACCAAATAAACGATGACAATCATCAAGAAATACTTCTGTTGGACTTTCAGCATTTTCACTATTAAATTTTGAATAACAACCGGATAACTGAAAATCAAATTAAAACAAAGAAATATTTAAAAAAAATTAATCTAATCTAATTACCGCTTTAATAGCAGTTTGTCGAACATCAGATACTCTATCAAGAGCCATTGTAAATGCAAGTGGACTTATATAATCACCAACATCCACCGATGAAAATAATGATGTTAATTCATATAATTGACTTGAAAAAATAAACAAATATTTATATTAAAAATTCATCTAAATCTCTTCAATATTATTATTATTATTATATGAATTATTCATCTCCTAACTATTTAATAATTACATGAGAAAAATAGAAGAAGAAGACATACTTGGCACTTTCTGATCTAAATCTCCAATTTCTTTGATTATCAACACAAGTTAAAGAATTTAATTTATCTAAATAAATTTTTCTTGTTGATAATTGAAGAACTTTTAAAAATTGTGCTAAATGTGAAAGGATTCCAATTTTAACTTCATCAACATCACGAAAAAATGAATCAAAAACTGGACATAAATCTTCTTCTACTTGTTCAACAGTTAAAATTTCTGCTAATGCATGTAAAGAATATGCTAATGTTCGACGAACTTTCCACTAGAACAAACAAAATAAAATAAAAATTTAAGAAAATCTTTTCTATTAATAATCTAACTTGTAAATCTTCAGCAAATTTTCTATGTACATCTTTAATAAGATGCCAATTTTTATTTGTTAATGTTAATGCAACAGCAGGAAATGTATGGGCACCTTGATGAACAATATCTGTTTCAACACCACTTGAATAAGATTGTTCAACTAAATTTGTATAATAATCTAATAATTCGATTGGTAATATACTCTAAAAAAAAATAAAATTATTATTTTCAAATCAAAATCTCTTTTCTTTCATTTACATTAACATCATCAGGATGATATGTTTGAGATATTTCAAGTAATGATTGTTTACGTGCTGATAAAACTAAAATAATTATATATTCTTATAATATAAAAATGAGAGATAATAGTTACATTGAGTGGAATTAAAATTACTATCTTGATCAAAATCAATATTTGTTAAAAGAGGTTCTCTCCAATAATTAAAATCATTAAATTTTTCATTTTCATTAATTTGAAGATTTTTTTCAATTTTCAAATCTAACTCATCAATTTGTTCATTGATTTCTTTTTTTGAATTTAATTCTTCATCATCATCATCATTATCTTGTTTTTGATCGTTTGATTGAGCAAATGTTGAAATAAAATAACCAAGTACACGAAGTGCTGCTGTTTTAACCCAACGTGATTGATCTTGTAAAAGTTGAATTAAACATGGTGATAAAATATTCCAACGGGATTCTTTTGAACAAACTTGAGCAAGTGGATGAATTACTTCAGCACAACTTTTACGAACACCCCAAAATGGATCACTACATAAATTTGATAGACAAGGGACCTAAACAAATATTCAATCATTTAATTGTTTTGTTATTGAATTGTTTGATATTAAATAATAGTTAGCAAAATAAGAAAATAATTTCCTTAGAAAAAAGTATGAAATCTACTACTCATTTTGATAATGATTCAGAAAAGAGAAATGAAATCATAATTAGAATTGATTTTTTTGTATTTTGTTTATAAATTAAAAAATGTTTATTAATATAAAAATAAATTACAAGATATTGATCGACTGCTGATAATGGAATAACTGTTGCTAAATCACCAATAGATGTTGCACATGTCTTTTATTAATAAAATAACAAATAATTTATTTTTATTAATAAAATGAGAAAGCAAAAAAAACCTTTCTTGTTTGAAATGCAATTGAAGAAGATTGTTGTACTATAGTTGGAACAAAATATTTTAATATTAAATCATTTGATACATATTGGGTTAAACGTGTCATTAACTAAATATACATACATACATAGATAAATATAGTTCGAGAGAAAAAAAAGAAATTGATTATATATTGTGATAGTTGTTACATTTTATTCATTCCAGCAAAGCTGACTGTGATATGATTTTAAATTTATTTCAACATAAACACAACCATATTGTGGAATAAATAAAATAGAGAAATTAAAAAGAAGAAAGAAGAAAGAGAAATTTAGTTTGAAAAGAAAAGACATTCTTTGGAAAGACAGATTAGTAAGATGAGAAATATTAATGTAAACATCTCACTACCCATGTCTTTCATAGAAGATCTTTCAAATGTTGATATATTAATAAAGATAATGAAAATAACGTACAACTATTGATTCATTTTTAAAATCATCACATGCCGAATCTAATTGACATAATGCTGGAATAATTTCTTGTTCAATATCATCATTTTTAATTTGTTCTAATTCAAATAAACGAATTAATGCAGATTGACTTGCTTTCCGAATCTATTTTGAAATAGATTCATATGTGTATCATTTACTTGATTAAATTCAAATAATAATTACTCGATTATTTCCATGTCCAATAGTTTGAACAATTGATTGAAATAAATATTCTTTTATAAG